AGAAATTATAAATACCATCTCCATCTTCTCCCGCTTATCCGTGGTCGGGATAAATACTTCTACTCCAAATAAAGAAATCATCAAAACACTCTCATAGTGTGATAAAAACAATAGTCCAACATAATGGCTGCATGCTATAAAGTAGAACACCCAAGTATTGACTCAGGTCACTGCGTGCTGCAACCCACATAGCATTACAACACACTTCATTAATATTGATTTACTCTTATTTTTATTCTGATAAAGTTATATAAAGAGTGTTACCTGAGACAGCCCAGCAGACTACGAAGGTGAACACAGCAGCCCTCTTCATGGTGACAGGTTCTGTTGGTGGGATCTGGTCTCTGCTGTTCCGTCCTGAGCTGAGCGCAATGTGCGGCACCGCGCTGCGTCTCCGCATATAAATACACGCTCACAGCACACATACACACACACACCGGAAACTGTTTCAATACAAAGTAAAATAATCCATCTCTCTAAGAAAAAACCTACATTTTAATAAACGGGGACCACGGACTGAAAGACATTGTATCACTAATGAATTTAATAATAATTCAGTCAATTATATATTTGATTTAAAACAATAATGTTTTTTGGGATTCAACACCAAACTTTGGGGGGTTCCTAAGTAATTCTTATTATTCTTGTGATTATTAAGAAATTGTTTTAATCTGGTGGTGAAATATTTTTATAAAATAGTGCCCCAATCGTTATGTATTCTTATTCTGTGTTCAGGTAGGTTTTTCTAAACTTCTAAAATATTGTAATATAAGAAAAGGGTTTCAATGCATGGATTAAGGTGCAAAAGGGGTATAAAACACCTTAAATTGGTCAAAGTAAAGCAACAAGTATCCACTTAATTGTACCTTCTAAGAACCTTATATTGAACAAATGCTTTCAAACTGTACATTGCAAGTTCAGTAATATATTACGGGGCTTTGATAATTGTTCCGAGTGCATAAAGGTGATTTCAATGATTGTATGTTTTAATTAAAGGACACATTCTCTACAAATCTCACGTTATTTTATTGACATATAGATTCGTAATGTCCTTTTCTAAACCAGGATTTTACCTTTAACAGTTTGTGTATATGAGTGTGAGAGTAGGCAGTACAGGGCGAAATAGGGATTTATTTTGAAAGCTCTAACCGGAAGCGCTGGTCTAGATTCTTCGATGCTGATGCTGCTTTTACTTTTGACAACTTTTAGCAATATTCAGGAAACGAAAGTAATGTGACTGCGTGGGGGGGGGTTACACTCTGTTTTCCATTCGAGTGAAAACGAAACCCGCAGAAAGTACTTAAGTATTACCATCAACATATAGTTAGAGTAGCAAAAGTAAAAGTAGTCATTGTGCAGATCCATTTCATTGATCATGAAAGTGTTCTCAAAGCTGGTAAAGGTGCAGTTAGTTTGAATGACTTTGTATACTGCAGGGTAGCTTGTGAATTTACTCCAGGTGGAACTAAAGTCTGATTTAACACTTGATTATATTTCACATCATTAATCCAAATCTGCAAAGTAACTAAATGTATTAAGTACAGTACTTGAGTAAATGTACTTAGTTACTTCCCACCTCTGAACCTACATCATACTGAAACACTGTGGCTTCAGGTTCCTCTGTCAAATGTATGGGAACACACTTCAACTGCTGAATCAATGATTAAATACAATTTGACATATACATATAGGTTAAGATATCCAGCAGCAGTATATTAAGTAATATAAATGAGCTCCACCTTTACCAGCTGTAATGAACACATAAATGCATCAATAATGCATTAAATAAATATCTGCGGCAGTAAAAACTGCAAATATGATTCTAAAAAGGGCCATTACGCTACCCAAGTACTTTTGCTACTTTTGGTATGCTTTAAGTATATTTTGATGCCAATACTTTTGTACTTCTTAAGTACAATTTGCATGTAGGACTTTTACTTGTATCAGAGTATTTTTACTATCGAGTATTGCTACTTTTACTCAAGTAAAAAAATACTTCTTCCACCACTGAGTATAACAGGCCTAAAGGAAGTAGTGTTATCATTGTAATTCTGTGTGTAGTAATAGCAGTTAATAGTAACAGTTGCAGTACTTTAGTAGTTTGTAATGGTAGCCTAGTGGAACTGACATACCTGTGAAAGTAGTTTTATTGTAGCAGTATTTGTGATGGTCGTAGTACACTATTAGTTAAAGTAACAATTATAGTATCAGTATTAATAGTAGCTGTATCAGTATTACATGCAGGAATATTTCTATGACATACAGTGTAAAATACTCTGTTTGAAGTACAAGTTCTGCATTTAAATGTTTTTTAGATACAATTATTGTGTATTACCTATCAAAATACATTTAAAGTACTGCAATTTAAATGACTCCTTATACATAAGGCCCATTTTTAACAGGCCTGGAGACAGTACAAGTGGACAATAAATGCAATACATTGGCAGTAACAGGTAGCCTACATACTGTATTTATATTACATTTCATTTAGCTGACGCTTTTATCCAAAGCAACTTACAATTGCCAATTACAGGGACATTCTCCCTGGAGTAACTAAGGACTAAGTGCCTTACTCAAGGGCACACTAGTGGTGGTGTTCCTGGCGGGATTTGAACTCACAACCTTCCGATCTTCAGCCCACCTCACTATCCATTAGAGCACCACTATCCCCAACTGTATAATGTAGTAATATGATTAGGCTTAATATTGCTTAATATACAGACCACAGAGGACATTTCCTGACATCATGTGATGGACACAGAAAGAGGAAATGAGACGTTTCCCAAATACTCACATGCACTTCACCTCACCTGAACATCGTGACTGAGCAGACGAATGCTTTGAATGTGCTCAGACAAGCTTTTTGTTTTATTGTTCATAGTTGCATTTTCAGCAGATCACAAGATACAATTTACATACAGACATCACCAAATCTAAATTCTCACTGGGGTTAAGGGATTTATTTTATGCATTGTAGCATCTCTCTTTTTGTCCTGATCCAACCCCTCTGTTTCAGCACCGTTTCAGAAGTGCTGATTCTGTGTCTGTTACTTTAGATGAAAATAAGGTGCCACTCCCCACGCCCCTCTGATGCCCCTTTCACACCAACGCGGCTCCCGTTCTAGCTCCGTGCTTGCGCTCTTCTGGTTCGGAACCGGTTTCTCTTTTCAGCCCCCGTTTTGTTCACACCGCCCAGAGCCCGACTGGTACTGCTGCAGCTGCGTCATGACGTCACCGTTTACGACGCTGATTTTCTCCCCAACGGCGTCGGGTCGATGATCGTGTTACTTTTAATCATACGAAGCCAGATTAAATTAAATAACTACTTCTCATCCCTTGTACTTTTCTCCAGAGTGCCGTGGTTCATTGTTTATTAATGTGTTTCAACGGCATTTACCGACCGCTGCAGTGCTGCCCGCTGTTTGGCATCACAACGCTGTTATGAAAGTTTCTCTGGTATAAAATGGGTGATGTTAGCATAGCAACCGAAGCTAAACTGACTATCTTGACTACTTGTTGCTATCCTATTGTGGGCCACAATAGGATAGCAACGCTAAGCAAGCAAAGCAAACGCTAAGCAAAGCTTATGCCACAATTTGTGGCATAAGCCGTTTTCTACAGGCACATTTAACCGGCGTATTTTTCATTATGATTCTACTTGTGATAGTCGGACATGACAACCTGTGCGGCCCATGTATTGATTCCATCCGATAGCTGCTATAATACAAAACAAAACGTCTGCCTGCTCTCCACAATGATCAATAACAGCGAACGGATGGTCAAAGTAAGGTACAAATAAACAGAATCAAACTAAACCTGGTTAGTGTTGCCTGACTTTATAAAGTGTGTGTTTTTTTTTTAAGTGTGTGGTTGCATTCTAGTCACTTTGGTCAGCGCTACTGTTTGTTACAACTTTCATTTGCCGTACTCGCCATAAACTGTTATTGCTCAGGTTGATCCCGCCCCTGCCCCCGCCTCCGACGTAAGCGCGACGTATGTGGTTCTTGCTTCTAGACTGACCATTTTTTGGTGCTTAGAGCCGGCTCCGCTGCGGTGTGAACAGGAAAAACCGGTGCTTATCAGGCTCTAGCTCCGAACCGGCCCTTGAACCGCGTTGGTGGGAAAGTGGCATGAGAGATATTTGGTTAAAAAGAACACAATGGTGCTCTAGGAGGATATTCAGGTGATAAGGTGGGGGGGGGGGTTACCTTGGTTGGTGATTGGCTAATGGTTACACAAGCCAAAAAATCGTTATGACATCATAAAGTGGCCAAAATCGGATCAGCTCATTTTCAGACAGGTTTTTATATAAATGGATCAGGACAAAAAGAGAGAATCTTTTTTCCTAAAACTTTCAGAATCTCTTAACACAGAGGGGACACATGTTTATGTAGAAAATACATGAACAAGTGGATTTCGCATAATAGGTGACCTTTAAGACATTTAGGAGGCAGGTAGTAACTACGAAAGGCACCATACTGTTGAATTATAGTAAGTGTAGATTGAAGGTTTTTATGGAGCGTAACCAATAAACAGAATATCTCAGCCTCTGCTGCTTTCAATTCACTCCTCTAATTTGTTAGAATCCCTCAATGTTATGAGAATGTAATATTAAATCGATAATTGAATACGTATTCAAACATATAGAGGGTTTATTGTTGTTATAGTTTGTGTTTAAAAGGAACATATATATATACATGTAAAAAGTGAAGTAACACAGGTTTATATTTTACATTCTGACTGGATATAAAACACATGATGACAATAAATACTAGTGGGAATAATCACCGTCTGAACCGTGGTTTAAAACTAAGGCAGCTCTCTGTTTTCAATTTCCCCATTGGTTTAATTTCCCGGGAAAATCTTATGATAATGAGTTCTCTCTGCGCCAATCCCGATGCTGCATCCACACTTGGGCCCGCCTTCGATGACGATAAATGAGAGGAAACTGTACAATACCATAAAAGGAAAATACTCCCGCATGCGCAGTGGCTCTAGTTTTGTTTGAAGTGAACTGCTGCCTGGGACTGCCCTACAAGCTGCAAAGTCGCCAAGCATTTGATTTTAACAGTATATTCTTCACAATTCCTCCTTAATCTTTTAGTGCCTCTATGCATCGTCGAGACGATGTTGGGCCATCATTATCCAAATACCGACAAGTCGCAACAACTGGTCAACTATGTGGAGGATTATCTGGAATGTGTGGAGTCCCTGCCTTTGGACATACAAAGAAATGTTTCTCTGCTCCGGGAAATTGATGCAAAGTATCAAGGTATTGTGATTATATGTTTCTATCCATCATCAAATGTTCGTGTATACATTTGGTCAACATTAACTGCAGTCTGAGAGCTTGTGTTGAAATGGTGGAGCAGGCGCGAGCCGAATGTTCCCTTTTTGCAAAAACCGAGTACCCCTTGTTCGTGTCTGACGATACTGCGAAACACAGTAATATGCCCAGTGGAAATAAGGATAACACATTGACGAGCCAATTGTAATTAAAACGAGCCAGCCAGCCGTCAGTTAGCATATCCCGGATACTCTTCGCGTTGTTTTGTGTGACACCAAACTCAATGAGAAAATTGTTAAATTTGATATTTCCTCCTCTCAGTAAAGGTGTACATGCAATTTGACTTAGTACGAGATCTGAATTGAATAATTGGGGTCCAATAGCAAATTCGGCAATAATATAATCCAAAAACTAGCACTGTGAAGTAATACAATCTCAACTTTTTCAGTAGGTATACACTGCCGCCCACCACGGTGTTTCCGCGGATGATTATTATGTGAAAGCAGGCTAAACAATGAATAAACCCGGTCATTTAGGAATGAAACGCTGCTTGGTGTGTTTAATGTGCGCCGAAGCCCAGAGTGGAGATGAGCAGAAGATAATAAACTGTGTTCATTCAGGTGTGAACCCCTGCTCCATGGTGAGCATACACTGCCGTTTTTTAAATGTACCAACAACCATTGGATGCTGTTTGTTGACGCGGCGGCAAACACGCAGCCTTGTACCGCTAATTTCCTCGACATTATCGACGGATAGTAACAAACACCGATAGAAACATCGAGGCATTACATTTGGATTGTTTTTTAGCGAGTGTACATATTATCAGAGCTCGTAGTGTTTCCACTGTGCTCCGTCCGTCGAGTGAGAGTCTCACAGCCGGAGAGCTTCTCTTCTAGGCAACCCCTCTAAACATCGGACTGCGTCACTTCCTGTGGGCGGGACTCACTGCAGCTCAGCCCTCTTCCTCCTTTCAGGAAAGTCTTCCTCAATGCAACATTTAAAAAGTCCTATAATTTGTCCAGTTGCTACCATAAATCCAAATAGCCATGTCCTCCCCTCCACATAGTCTCTCAACTCTAATATACTCTATACAGTGGCCTCACCTTTTTGTCAATAATCGTGTTATCATGACTTGTCTCTTCTCTATTTGTTCTTCATGCTTCCAGAATATGTGCTCCTTTTCATGAGACTAATTAAATAATATGTTGAATATTTCTCCAACATGAAATGTGTATTATTAATGTTGCTGTGTCCAAATCTCAGTCTGATACTATCCTGTTAGTTCCCCTTATCTTTACCTCTTTCTTTTTTGTTCTGCAGACACTGTAGCATCTGTTTGTGGATCCTTTCATCCATCAGAAAGAATCTGTAAATAGTCAATATATTCCTCCTCCTCTAGGGTCAGCTGCTTCATATGTGCAACTTAATTTCACCTCAACAAAAGTTTGCATTGTATGCAGAAAACATGCAGCACGATTTTAAAGAAATAAACTCACGTGGCTGATATAGACCTACTTGTTATAAAGCGGGACATTTTCCAGTAGGGAAGGGAAAAAACGAGTCAATGCTCTGGTCGGCTAAATGGAGATACTGTATCTTAATGACCCAGTCCATATCTTTGACATTTCATTATTGAAATGTTTGATCAGAGTACACTGATATATCTGTGTTAAGCTCAAATTGGCCGATGACCCAAGATTGTTTTTTAGAGCTATACAAACATCTAATTACTCTACTTTTACACCCTCAATGTCATCCACATATTTTTATTGTCAATGTTTACTATGACAAGCCAGTTTTCAGTAATTGTGACCAGAAGCTTCAAGTTTCCAAACTAAAATGCGTTCAGTATCTCCTCTCTGTATTCTGTCATTACTCATGAAACTCTTTGTCTTTATGCCCTTCTCTAGAGGTCCTCAGGGAGGTGGATGAAGTGTTTGAGAAGTACAAACGTGAGCAGGATGGCGCTCAGAGGAAGCGGCTGCAGGTCCAGCTGCAGCGAGCGCTCATCAGCAGCCAGGAGCTGGGCGACGAGAAGATCCACGTGGTGACCCAGATGACGGAGCTGGTGGAGAACCGCTCCCGCCAGATGGACTCCCACTCCCTCTGCCTGCAGGAGCCCAGCGAGGAGGTGCGGCTCCCCACAGAGCGCCGTACCAGCATACAAGAGCTGCCGGCCCCTGAACGCACCTCGGCACGCCGCCCTCGACGCCAGCGCAACAGCGAGAGCCGGGACTCCAGCCACCCGTCAGCCAACGGCTCTCTGGTGGACGACCAGGTGGAGGAGCTGTCCATCCCCCCGCCCCGAGAGAAGAAGTCCAAGTCTGCCAAGAAGAAAAAGCGCAAGTCCAAACAGGAGCGAGACGCGTCCCCGGTGGACTTCGCCATCGACCCCAACGAGCCCACCTACTGCCTCTGTGAGCAGGTGTCATACGGGGAGATGATCGGTTGCGACAACGACCAGTGCCCCATCGAGTGGTTCCACTTCTCCTGCGTGGGCCTGACCTACAAGCCCAAGGGCAAGTGGTACTGCCCCAAGTGCAGAGGGGACAACGAAAAGACCATGGACAAAAGCCTAGACAAAAACAGAAAAGACCGCAGGTCCAGGTAGTGACCCCCCCCCCCCCCCCCCTCCCCCCCATTTCTCTGGAAAATGTGTTAAGCCTGAGGACTATCAGCCGTAGTTGATAACCGTACTCGTGATGTTGTAAGAGCACAATCCAACACCACTAGTAGCGGCGCTTATTAATCCAGGACACGTTGTGATGAGCTGGTGCTGATTGGTCCGCTGGCTCTGACTGTACTGCAGTCTGTAGACAATCTGAAGCTGCCATCTTCCTCACCTGTGGTTTTGTGAGACTTTATTTTGACTCCCAAGAAAGAAATGAAAGCATGTTTTGGTTCACTATCACATTTCATTGTGGACGAGGTCCTCATTAAAAATAAGGTATGCCTGCTAATGATCATAATTTATGGCCAAACAAACTATTATTTTTTTATTTTAATTTCCCTATTTGCAAGCAATTATTTGAAATCAGTGTCTGTCTCTATACAATAATCACCGGTAGAGGATAACTTACACATGTTATATGTTTACAAGAGATTGATATTTAAGTGAGGAGATGATTGTTGATGGGACACTGGAATAGGACGTCATATTGTTTTCACTGGTTCACTATCACTATTGTGTAAATGTTTTTTTATATTCATTAAAACAAAGTATAGTCATGCTGTTACTATTCAGTTCTTCATCATGAAGCACAGCCTGACATGTTGACATGCTGGCATGAGAGTGGAAATGTTATCATGTTAATGTTTAGTCTCCACTACATGTATTTAAAACCTTTAGTTACTTTACAGATGTGGATGAATGATGTGACATAAGTGTTAAATCAGACTTTAGTTCCACCTGGAGTAAATTCACAAGCTACCCTGCAGTATACAAAGTCATTCAAACTAGCTGCACCTTTACCAGCTTTGAGAACACTTTCATGATCAATCATTATAAAACATATCATATATATTATTCTGAAACGGACCAATCTGCACAATGACTACTTTTACTGTTGCTACTTTCACTATATTTTGATGATAATACTTTCATTCTTTTACTTGAGTATTGAATGCAGGACTTTTACTTGTAACAGAGTATTCCCACACTCTGGCACTTCTACTTTTGCTTAAGTATAACATCTGAGTTCTTCAGTCACCTCTTCTAGTTCTTCTAGTCTCACTGCATAATGCTGAAGAACTCTAACCAGATGTATTATACCATAGGGTCCTTAAACATATGACATGTTTCAGTGTTATGTAAATATTTGAAGTGCTGCTCCTAACCTTTTTTTAAAAGCTTTAATAAGCACCGACATGTTTCTTACAAATGTAATTACTGCCAAAAGCCTCTTACTAACTTGACATAGTTTCACATAGATTTTAACATACTCTGATTCAGAGGCTAAAAACTGTCTGAACCAAGGGGACTTTTTGGTGGACACTTTAAAAAGTCAAGAGGTGGTTGTCACGCTTTTTGTCTCAGCACTGAACACTCACTGCATCTTTGTGAGGGGGCTTTGGAATTTTGGCTTAAAGCATATTCATTTGTTAAAATACAAATAGCAATTTTTCGAAATTCGCCAACTATATCACATCATTAATCGATATCAAATTCTTCATTTTTTTTATAGCAACACAATTCCAAAATATCTTTATCTCACCCTGTCCCTATTGTTTAGCTAGCTATCAGGATGGCAATTTTAACTGAGAATGGATGAAATGCACATTTTATCAGTACCAAGTACTCAGATTGTATACCGTAGTAAAAGCAGCAGTACTCTGTTGCAAGTTAAAGTCCAAAATATTGGCATCACAATATCTTTAAGTACCAAAAGTAAAATAATTCTTTATGATGAATTGCCCATTTCAGAATCATATATATATTTAATTACTGGATCATGATAATTGATATAATCACGTGTTCATCAAACCTGGAATGGTGGAGCTAATCTATATAACTTTGCTGCTGTGGGATATTTTAACCTATCATTTGATGTCAAACATAATTTTGATTTTTTAGTTGATTTATATTGTGTATTAGCTAATAATATGAATCTGTAAAGTAACTCCAGCTGAAAAATCTAGTGGAGTAAAATGTACACCATTGGCTTCTAAAATGTAGTGGAGTAGAAGTATAAAGTAGCATACAATGAAAATACTCAGGTAAAAGTACCTCAGAATTGCACTTCAGTAAATGTACTTTGTTAAAGGTTACCACTGCAGTTTACCAAAGAGATTACTCACTTATTTAATAAGTATAGTTACTAATTTCAACAGTATTAGTACCAATCAGAATATAGACTGACTGGAAAAAGGATAAGCCTTCTGGTAAACTTCTTTGCTCAGCTACAAAATGTCACATGCTAGATCAGAAGGGAAGTGGTCATACTTGAAGGTGATCACATGACTCACATGCTGTTACAACCATTCCTTTGTTACAACAATCCCAGGTCCCGTATCTAAAGCTCCTGCTAATATATTGACGGTGCCTGGATATCATTGTTGTAGATGAGATAGAACTTTGCAGGTCAGGTGACATCCACTGGCCCAAAAATACCTTTGTATCGTTATGAAGAAAGAACTGTGAAATGCAGAATGTTCATGCGCCCCCCTCCTCTTCCTCGCTGCTGCTGGACTCTCCGAACAGGTCTTCATCATGAGAGACAGCTGATCTGACAGTCCTGGATGTGACCCTGATGCTGAGGAGGGCCGGGCTGTGGCTGAGGCCCAGCAGGATGCTAGTCTGGTGTCCAGGAATGAGCCTGATACAGCGGCCGGTGCATCCAGAGAGCACAGACAGGACGCTGCCGGCCTGCAGGTCCCACAGGCTCAGCTGTCCTGTTAGCATCAGAAAATAGGCTGAATTATTAGCATCACATTTTTGAGGTGATATGTTAAAATGTTATAGTGTCATTTTTATAGTGACTAGCTAAAAAAATGAATCCAACGGTGAAGTACCATAACTGCCATGACTCCATTGGCCACTTAAGGCTGGATGCAAAACCCCCTAATGCTATAATGATTGACTGTATACATGTTTCAAATACAACACTTAAAAGCTAACATTAAATATTTTCAGCCTCACACAAAAAAAATGTTTTGTCTCTAGCTAATCCCTGTTCCTGACTACTGTACAGGGGTTTAAAGAGTCCTCTCCTGCTGATGTTCAGGTGTATATCAGTATGTAGTGTCTCTACTTTAAAGAGTCCTCTCCTGCTGATGTTCAGGTGTATATCAGTATGTAGTGTCTCTACTTTAAAGAGTCCTCTCCTGCTGATGTTCTGGTGTATATCAGTATGTAGTGTCTCTACTTTAAAGAGTCCTCTCCTGCTGATGTTCAGGTGTATATCAGTATGTAGTGTCTCTACTTTAAAGAGTCCTCTCCTGCTGATGTTCAGGTGTATATCAGTATGTAGTGTCTCTACTTTAAAGAGTCCATATTCTGCTGATGTTCAGGTGTATATCAGTATGTAGTGTCTCTACTTTAAAGAGTCCTCTCCTGCTGATGTTCAGGTGTATATCAGTATGTAGTGTCTCTACTTTAAAGAGTCCTCTCCTGCTGATGTTCAGGTGTATATCAGTATGTAGTGTCTCTACTTTAAAGAGTCCTCTCCTGCTGATGTTCAGGTGTATATCAGTATGTAGTGTCTCTACTTTAAAGAGTCCTCTCCTGCTGATGTTCAGGTGTATATCAGTATGTAGTGTCTCTACTTTAAAGAGTCCTCTCCTGCTGATGTTCTGGTGTATATCAGTATGTAGTGTCTCTACTTTAAAGAGTCCTCTCCTGCTGATGTTCAGGTGTATATCAGTATGTAGTGTCTCTACTTTAAAGAGTCCTCTCCTGCTGATGTTCAGGTGTATATCAGTATGTAGTGTCTCTACTTTAAAGAGTCCATATTCTGCTGATGTTCAGGTGTATATCAGTATGTAGTGTCTCTACTTTAAAGAGTCCTCTCCTGCTGATGTTCAGGTGTATATCAGTATGTAGTGTCTCTACTTTAAAGAGTCCTCTCCTGCTGATGTTCAGGTGTATATCAGTATGTAGTGTCTCTACTTTAAAGAGTCCTCTCCTGCTGGTGTTCAGGTGTATATCAGTATGTAGTGTCTCTACTTTAAAGAGTCCTCTCCTGCTGATGTTCAGGTGTATATCAGTATGTAGTGTCTCTACTTTAAAGAGTCCTCTCCTGCTGATGTTCAGGTGTATATCAGTATGTAGTGTCTCTACTTTAAAGAGTCCTCTCCTGCTGATGTTCAGGTGTATATCAGTATGTAGTGTCTCTACTTTAAAGAGTCCTCTCCTGCTGGTGTTCAGGTGTATATCAGTATGTAGTGTCTCTACTTTAAAGAGTCCTCTCCTGCTGATGTTCAGGTGTATATCAGTATGTAGTGTCTCTACTTTAAAGAGTCCTCTCCTGCTGATGTTCAGGTGTATATCAGTATGTAGTGTCTCTACTGGGACATGTCTCCATGCTTTAATGTTCAAAAAGCTCTTTATTTTTCTCATACTGCCTGTGCTGCAGCACCTCTTTTCACCTTTTTCTTTTCACCTTTTCTTTTTCGTCTGAAACCAGAGCCCAGTCTGCTCTGATTGGTTAGCTGGTAATCTGTAGTAATCTTGTAATGTCCAAATGTTTAGAGCTGTCGTAATAACATTATAAAAGCATAATAGGGTCCCTTTACCAATTTCTAATCAGATCAGAAGTGTAGATAACTGTTGGCCAGAGCTCTCTTAATAAGAATCAGAGAGAAATGAATACTTTCTTTGTAACTATTTTTGTAATCCTTTTAGCTCTAAAGAGTCAGTTCACACAAATGGTCATACATTTAGAAGTCACTTGAGCTCTTACCATTCATCTTTGTTTTCAAATGTTGGTGAATTAACCTTTTAATTACAAAAATACTTTATATATCAGTGTCTTTTAATCCAACTCATATCCACCTCACACTGCACTGATTTCACTTGCTTGAAAGTGTGAAAACATGCTGTAATATGACACCTTACTGTGAAAGAGCCTTGAGGAAACAGTTAGTTTTTAGCACCATAGTGTGAAAACAAACACACACATCAGTCACATGAC